TTCTTTGGAGTCAGAGGTGACCCCTCGAGGGTCATCAAACTTGGATGCGCAGAAAGGGGCCCTTCCCCTGCTCGGAGCGTCAGAGGTGGCGGGTGACTACAGAGCGAGTCCTCGGGCCGGTCTCAGGAGCCCTCGCTGGGGAGCAAGACGTGACGTGGGCATTTCCGTCCGCAGGGCCTGGGGTGCCCGCTCCGAGGGGCCTCACACATCAGGGGCCCCTGGGACCCGCGTTCTCTGCCCCGAGGCCGGTGAGAGATAGGGCCTGGCCCGGTGCGTGGTGTGCTGCAGCTTTTTTTTTTCTTTGCTTTTTTTTTAAACGCATTTTATTGATTTTTTACAGAGAGAAAGGGAAAGGGATAGAGAGTTAGAAACATCGATGAGAGAGAAACATCGATCAGCTGCCTCCTGCACACCTCCTACTGGGGATGTGCCCGCAACCAAGGTACATGCCCTTGACCGGAATCGAACCTGGGACCCTTCAGTCTGCAGGCTGACGCTCTATCCACTGAGCCACACCAGTTAGGGCCGTGGTGTATTTCCTTATTGTCCCAGAGAAACTTAGTCTAAGTCTTACAAGCAGGAACGTTGTTATGAAGCCATGAGGAACGAATCAGCAACAGGAAGAAAGGAGATGGGAGTGGGGGGGAAGGAAACAGGGAGCCCCGTCCCGGCCCCAGAGCGACCTCAGCTCTCACAAGTCCTGAGTGGACGGCGCGGGCCCTCCCGGATCTCACTGTTGCTGAGCTGCCGTGGGGACTCGCTGTGCCTTCTGTTACCAAAGCAACTCACAGGAGACGCTCTGCCAGAGTGTCTTCAATTCACCGGATTCTGAGAAAGGGCTGTGGACAGGTTACGCAATGAAGACCCGCCTGTCCTTTCTGGAGACTTCTCCCCTGGACAAGCAGCTCATTGATTCTGCCCCTCGGGGGGCTTGTCTTTGCCAGCCACCAAAGGCTCTCACCCCGCTGGGCTCTGATTGGATGGGTGGGGGTCAACTAACACGCTGGCTTCTTCGAATGCCAAGTGTCTGACCCAGAATGCAGTTTTGCAATAAGTACGTCCTTTGCTCTAGAACAGCGGTTCTCAACCTGTGGGTCGCGACCCCTTTAGGGATCGAACAACCCTTTCACAGGGGTCGCCTAAGACCATCGGAAAACACGTATATAATTACACATTGTTTTTGTGATTCATCACTATGCTTTCATTATGTTCAATTTGTAACAATGAAAATACATCCTGCAGATCAGATATTTACATGACGATTCATAACAGTAGCAACATGACAGTGATGACGTAATAACCTTATGGTTGGGGGTCCCCACAACACTGTATTTAAAGGGCCGCGGCATGAGGAAGGGTGAGAACCACTGCTGCAGAG